TGATGAATCAAGTGGAGAAGAAGAGGAGGTGGAGGAAGAAAAGGACAAACCAAAGTCTACGTAAGAATCCATTATTGTTACAATACAGATACAGTTAACAGGGGGCAGATTCAAGAGGTGGCGTGAAGTGCAAACGAAGGACATATTGTTTGAGGGGGGAAGTTTGAATGGGGCTCAGGGACATATTTTTCCCCAGGAAGCTCCAATATTTTAGCCATTTTAATATTTTATCAAAATAATTTCAGTGTAAAAGTCTCCAAAGCTTGTTCAGCAACTAAATGAGATGACCTGTACCTCAGATGACAACTCCCATATCCTTTTTCAAACAATTCTACTTTAATTGAAATTATTCTAGCCTCCTCAAAGCTCTGGTGAGGCTATTGTGTCTTCCTTCCCCTGTTCTTCTTCGTCTTGGTCTTGCTGTGATAACTTGAGTTGGATTATTGATTGGTTTCAAATATACCACAATGCAAGGTGACAATAAAAGACAAAAGATTATTAATGTTGGAACCTATATGTAATTTTATGCTAATTACTCATTTAAATTAATATAATTTTACTGTTAGGATAGGAAAATATTAATTCTAGTATGTTTGTATTTTTCCACAGAGAGACGAGAGGAGGGTTTGGTATGTTTAACATGTTTAAAGGACTTGTAAGTTCAAAGACCTTATCAAAAGAGGACATGGATCCAGTGCTCACCAAGATGCGAGACCATCTCATTGGTAAATGTGGCAAAGACAAGCCAAACCAGTCACTCGTCGCAAATCGTGTTTCCGAGAAAATGGCCAAAACATGCTGGAATGTCAAATTTTTAAAAATCTATTTTATTGCACTAAACTAACCTTTATATATCTACACATCATTCTATGCTGTTATTTCCCCATTTTCAATGTTAAAACAATACTTTTTAAGGATTTAAAGATAGTTTGACTTTGACGGTTAATTTCTCATATATTGTTCTTTAAACAGCTGTGTGGTTAAATGCTTGTAACTTCATAAGGAAATGTCCGATTTTAATGATTTTTTTACCATTTTATAGCTATTATTTTACTCTCTAACACTGTATTAATAACTCAAATCAATTTTTGCGACGAGTGACTGTTTTGGCTTGTCTTTGCCACAAATTTTATTCTGTTGGTACACGGGTGTATGGGGTGAGGAACATTAACCCTCAACTTTTTCCTAACCAGTCCTCCGTCAATTTGGACTACAGCTAGGTTGAAGACAAACTTACAGCTAAATTCATAAACAATCTTTGCCCTCAACCCATAAAATTTATTCAAGGTAGACTGGCTGAGAATCCACTGTCCTTCTCAGGGTAAGGTTCTATAGCACAGCAGTTGGAAATCTCCATTTAATGCTTACCAGTACCATTGCACCCCTACTTAAATCCTCAGTCTCATAAAGTGGTTCTTCATGTAATTTTTTTTACTTTATAATTTTAACATCAGTTCTCATTGTGTCAATAAGGAAAAGCACTATTGTTTTACAAACAGTTGTAGTAAGTCTAGTAAATTTGTTTTGCGTCTTCAGGTAAGAACGTAGCAGCAGACATTGCTGAAAAGATATGCGATTCAGTTGCAACCAAATTGGAGGGGAAAATCCTTGGAACATTCGACCGTAAGTTTACTAAGTTTGTTAATAAAAAATATTTCTATACTAGTACACAAGATTGTCTCCTTAATGCCAGTATAAAAAAACCATATTTGGTTGAGAGGGGAAAAAACTATTACCCTATGATTGGCTTAGGTGTAGCACACAACAATCCTTCACCTACGCACATTTGCTGACAGTTGAAATGTGCGCACATTGAATATAGCAGTTCATCGAAGAACTATGTTAATCATATGCTACATTTAGTGTATATAAAGCTACAGAATCAAACTAAATATTTATAGTTTTATTTTTTGCCATTAGGTATCGCCTCTACCGTGCGCGAAGGTATCCAGGAGTCGTTAGTGCAGCTTCTGTCGCCTCATCGACGCATTGATATTCTACGAGACATCATGGAATGCCAGGCTAAGAATCGGCCGTATGTTGTTACCTTCTGCGGAGTTAATGGCGTTGGGAAATCAACCAATCTGGCCAAGGTACAATTTCAGGACAAGTAGTGTATACTAAAATAAATATGTATCATATTTTCTGCTATATTGTTTCTTGTGAGAAAGCAACTTAATAATATTTAATTACTTGATTATAAAAAAAAATAACAAAAATTAATTTTCAAAGTCAAAAAGGAAAATAAAACCAAATTTTTGTTTCCTAAGATCTGTTTCTGGCTTTTGGAGAACAACTTTCGTGTAATGATCGCTGCATGCGACACATTCCGATCCGGAGCGGTGGAGCAACTGCGCACACACACACGTCGACTGAATGCGCTACACCCCGCTGAAGAGGGCAGTAATCAACTTAATGTGCAGTTGTTTGAGAAAGGCTACGGCAAGGACGCTGCAGGCATTGCCATGGAAGCCATCAAATTTGGTAAACATGAAGAACTTAATTTATATTAGTTTTATGATTGTAGTAAAAATGAAGCATAGAAAGTGGGATGGTAAGGTGAGACTTCTTTTATACATTGTTAGGTGAACTTAATTTTTTAAAGACCGTCAGCAGATGGCGGAAATAGTATTTTGTTTTCTTATTTAGAAAATAGTTTACCAAAAACATTCAAGTGGCGGAGAAAATTAAAAAAAATATTTTGGTGAATGTACTGTAAAACAGTGTAGTAATGTGATGATTAAATGCTTTAGATTTATATAATTAGGAAGAAATACACATATCTTATTTTTGGAGATTTCAAGGCAGTGGCGGTGGTAATAAAAATAAGGAACTTTTATTTTTTTCTGAAATTTCCATTTTTTGTAGCAGCAGGTGTGCTAATAGATCAAAAATAAAATTTCATTTTCATTCAAAATTATCATTATTGGCAAGCGGCGGGTTCACTAAACAAGGTATAAAAAAGTCTGGTC